AGTGATCATATGTTTCTATTTTCTGATTATTTTCAGTGGGGATGCATTTACTTCTATAGTTATATAAAAAGCATTCAAGAAAAAGCCCTCTCCCTGTTCATAACCCCCTCTTTTCACACTCCCATTCTGTACTATCCTAAGTATGATCTCTAATTCTCATGGCCCTTCCATTTCAAAAACCCTCTTTCCCTCCAGGTTATGTTGTTTCCAGTCTTTTAGTCCCCATCCCCTGATACCCAAACTCTACGTTTTTGATTCCTAGCTTGCCGGGCACCTGTTAGGCACTTTAGTTTACCTTCTTAGTTAAACCTCAGAACACCCCCATGGATTAAGTCATTGTCTTCCACTTTACCGAAAAACAAACAAAAAATAGATATTAACAAACTAGCTTCCCAGCTACCCTTTCCCCACCCCAACTCCTATGCATCCTTCCAAATTCAGCTCCGTTGACATTGCTTCTGATGGTCACACCTGCCAGCACAGTCAGCCACATCACCCTCTGGCTCTCTGACACTGTGATGGCCTCTATTAGCCACCATCACCCTACTCTGTCATTACCTGGGTGCTGGCCTGTCTGCTGCCCTCCAGACTGTGAGCTCAGTAAGAGAAGGGACTGTCGTTCCTTTCTGCACTCAAGCACCTGGCACAGTACTTAGTAGGGAAAATATTATTTAATCAGTTAATAGTTACTGGCCTGCACTTCTAGCCCTATCCTTCCTCTTGAGTTTCAGCCATGGCTTTCTTTTTTTTTTTTTGTCTTTTTTTCGTGACCGGTAAGGGGATCGCAACCCTTGGTGTGGTGTCACCCGCACCGCGCTCAGCCAGTGAGCGCACCGGCCATTCCTGTATAGGATCCAAATCCTCGGTGGGAGCACTGCTGCGCTCCCGGCGCCACACTCTCCCGAGTGCGGCACGGGGCCGGCCCAGCCATGGCTTTCTTTTTTTTTTTTTGTCTTTTTTTCGTGACCGGGAAGGGGATCGCAACCCTTGGTGTGGTGTCACCCGCACCGCGCTCAGCCAGTGAGCGCACCGGCCATTCCTGTATAGGATCCAAATCCTCGGTGGGAGCACTGCTGCGCTCCCGGCGCCACACTCTCCCGAGTGCGCCACGGGGCCGGCCCAGCCATGGCTTTCTGATTCTGATTCCTCTGGTCTGGGGTGGCAACCCAGGATATTCAGTAGTTTAAGCTTCATGGGATGCAGTTGAGTGGGGGGGCCACGAAGGCAGGCACCTGCTTCTTGGACATGAAGATAGTATCCGGGGCCAGGGAGCAGGCCCTGTTGAAGCAGCTTCTAGGTTGTTCCAGGCACATCTTGGTGGGACCACAGAGAATTTGGGTACAGCAAATGGCCATGTTTTCTGTAGAAGGGTCTGCCAAGGAAAGGAGAGTCTCCTAACTGGTTTCCCTCCTCCAGCGTTGTCTCCATCAACACTGTCATCCACTCTGCAGCCAGAGGCAGTCATGAAAAGGCAGATCTGACCATACCATTGCTCAGATGACAGCCCACCAGCAGGCTGCTGTCACCGTGAAATAAATGAGCTCCATTATAGGTGTACAGTGCTATTGCTTGCCTGCACCTACCCTTCACCCTTCACACTCTACTATGATCAAGTTGCTTATACTGTGCCTGAAAACACTTGCTTGTGTCATACCTCTGGGCCTTTGCTCTTGCCATTTCCTCAGCTTAGAGTACCCACCTGGTGCCCCCTTTCATCTGATGCATCTTACTTATCCTTTAGACTGAGGTCAAACATCACCCCACAAAGTCCAGTGCAGTGCCCCATCCTCTGGGTCATAAACTCCCTGTGTCCGCGCTTCTAGCTTAGCAAGTCACACATTGTGTTGAAATCCTCCTTTGGCTCCATCTCTTCTGTTGACTGAACTCCAAGGAAGGTGGGCACAGACTCTCACACATGTGAGTGGTCCCAGACCCTCACTCAGACTGAACTGGAATCCACTGGGAAAGAGCTCAAGCTGTCTTTAAATGGTGTAAAGGTTTGTGTACAATGAAGGCCAAGTTCAAGTTGCTCAGGGGACAGAATAGGGCCAATGAGAAGGAAGAGGAACTTAAAAAAGGCTGGATGTTGAGCTGCTCAGATCAGGAACTAAGTCTGAAACCATTCGCGTGTCTCTTACCCACAGTGCTGGTGAGTTTGCCCTGATAGATTGATGAATTACTTGGCAGCTGAAATAGGGATAATGAATTAGGTATAGGAAGGGGTACAGAAAAAGGGAGGAAAGGGAGTTTGAAAATTTTCTTGGCTCACGAAGAACTGCTGCTTAGGATTGCTCCAGTTGATTGAAATTTAATAAATACTGAGCATTTCATTTATTCTTCAGTCAATATTTACTGGGAACCCACTGTGTGCCATGCTGGAGAATAATAGCCAACACTTATCAAGTGTTCCCTTTGTGACAGGCTTCAATAGTCATCGCTGCAAACCCCACAAGGGAAGCGATGCAGCGAGAAGGTAAGTGACTTGCTCAAGTTCACGCAGCCGGTGTGGAGTGGAGCTGGGCTGTGATCCAAGTCATGTAAATCCGGAGCCTGCATTCTGAGCTGCTCCACTCCAGTTATGCCTCTAAGGAAGATCGAGCAAGAAAGCACCCCTGTGCTCCTGAAGCTTACCTTCTAGTGGGATTTCCCAACAGGTTACCATTATATTCTAGCAAATTCTTGTTATAGAAACCAGCTGGTTTTGTTCATCATTGCATTTAAAAAAAAAATCCTGGAAGGATGGTTCATCAGAAGGCAAAGAAGAAAGCACAGCTGCCCTGAACTGAGCTCCCACAAATAATGTATAGAATATATTCAGCTCATTTCCAGATTTTTTTTAACTTCTTGATATTTAAATTTTTTAATGCTTCAATTCAGTGGATGCAAGATTTGGCAGATAGAAACAGGATCGTGTGGGCTGGGAGTGAATCTATTTGTGAGAAGGGAAAATGCGGTGAGAAAAAATAATTAATAGTTGGGTTGTGTTCGTATACATATTATGTAAAAGGCTACCCTATTTTGGTTGAGTGAGTCATTTTTTATTTTAAAGAGGAACATTAAAAGCTTTGGTTATCCTAACACTGACTTGGGGGAAGCAGCAATAATATTGATGTGAAATTTCAAAGTAAAATACTAAGTAGAATACACTCACGACTCTGAGCTGATACAGGCTTGTGTAAAAGACCAGTAAGTATTCAGAAAATTCAGTCTTTAAACTTCATTCAGTGTGTTTTTGTAAAGAGTGTATCTATAAAAGACTAATGTGCTATTCGTGACAATCAACAACGCAATGTTTTAGCAGAAGCGGTGGCATAATGATTGAATGTTCTTATAGTAATTTATGGTTTAGCAGGTGTTTTACAGTTTGGGTTTTTACAAACACTTTTAACCCAGGTACACCTTTGTTCTTTCATCACAAAGAAATGGGGCAACTAAAAGTGACAAGACTTCTTGGAGAAGTGGCTGATTGCAGAGCAAGGGTGGGGAAGGAACCACCGGCAAATGGAGTAAGGTGCTCAAGGAACAAAGGGACGTGGCGGAAGGTCACGGGAGCCTTCCTGATGCTGCTGTCACTGGAGCATCAAAATGAATAATAATAGTGACAGGTTTTAACCTATCAAATAAAGTGAGAATCTATGAGTGCACACTAATATAAATAAATGAATAAATAAATAAATGGGAGAGGAGGAAAAACACCTCCTTATATTAGAAAGACAATAAATGCAGAAGGAACGACGGACTTAGAAAAATCACCACTTGCCAACCATCACCACCATAACTGGTTCAGGCAAGAATCATTAATGGATGTCAAAATGAGGGTATTAAAGTCCGAGCAGTAACACAATATTTATATAGTCTCAGAGTACATCCCCACCAGCTACTTTTTCATTATGAAGGTAAATTGGTAACTTCCCAGTGGAGAAAGCTGGTAGGCGCCACCTTAACCACATGGTTAACACCACCAGTGATGGGACTAATGGGCAGCCTGTGCCTGCAGACGGGACACGCTGTCAAGAGCTCACCAACTCCTAGGCTGTTCCCCTCACCTGGGAGTCCCTTTTCCCTCCCCACCTGCCTAGAGAAAGGCCCACTGAGAGGTTTCCAAGAAGTGGGTGGGGAGATAGGATCCTGGGCTTCTCCTCAGGCACAGCCACTAGCCAGAGAGGGCTTCCTTGCTCCTGACCCTGAGGACAAACCATGTGATCCCTGAACCTCGGTTTCCCAGTTTCCTTATCTGCATGATGAAGAGTCTGGATTAGCCAGTGTCTGTGGCCCTTCCAGTTACATCCTGAGAACTTGTCTCTCTCTTAGACTCATCTGTCACAGCCTCTCTCTAAGCCCCTAGAAAGCTCTCCCTTGACCTCAGGAAAGGAGCTATGGTCCCTGCCCCTGAGAGATTGGTTTTCAGAGCTCCTTCCTGGTGTAGGCGATATCATGTGTTCAGACTTCTGGGATATTACATGGATCTCTGTGGACATTGAGTTTTCCAGTAAATTCACAGGTGTACTGTACACTCACAGCTGGCTTGGTGGTCAGCTCATTCATTCTTTCCTGCGGTAGTTAGACACGAGGCCCACTATTGAGCAGCAGAGTACACATTATGGCCCTGATGGGACAGTTTTTGTAAAGTCAGTTTTCCTTGTGACAAGAAAGTGATAAGTAAAAGACCAGAAGTCCCAGCCTGGCTCCGAATTAGTTGTACGAACTTGTATTAGCCAAATGACCTCTGCTAGCCTCAGTCTTCTCACCTGTTAAGTGGGGACAGCAGTCCCACTCTGCTGCCTGCCCTGCCCACCTCTCAGAACTGTGGCCCTTCAGTGGGAGAATTCTATATAATGCTTAACAAATATGAGGTAGTCTAGTTAATCCTTCAACATGCACATATGGAAGTGCTTTGAAAAACATAGGAGAATGACTGTGTTGTTTCTACCCACAGTAGATCTTGAAAGAGAGAGTGTTGGGAGGGCATAATAGTAAAACGTAGGAGAATCAAGCTGTGGCGCAGAGCAAGCACAGGGGCAGCCTGCCTTTGCAGAACCAATGTCTTTATTGCACTAGCACGTGGCTTGGGGCCTAGTCCTTAGTATGCAAATTGATGGTGCCATTGTCCTTCCAGTCCACCAGGTGGCAGAGCGGGTGGAGGCTCTGGGGCAGTTTGTCATGAAGACCAGAAGGACCCTTAAAGGACACGGGAACAAAGTCCTGTGCATGGACTGGTGCAAAGATAAGAGAAGGATGGTGAGCTCATCGCAGGTATGTCACACCTGTCCTGTAACGGGTGAGCCGGTTTCCAGTGTCATACCTAAGGGGGAAAGAGAGCTGTCCTTTTCAAAAAGACTTTTCCTGATCTTGTGACTTTATCTATTCTCCGAGGGACACTATTTAGCATAAAGAATTCTCTTTCATACTGTAGAACTTCACTAATTTATAACATAGACTGTATTTAACTTCTTTGATGAACCATTCAAAATAATTTCTTCCTGAGCATCTTCCAAGGTCTTATTTGTGAGTGAAACCATTTTTTTAAATAGTCTTCCCCCCCCCAAATTGAGGGTTTAAGTAAAGAGTTTAGCAATTCTTATGTCTTAAAAAACAAATTCAAGATATATATTTTGTAAAGTGTATTTTTTTCACTTATTTTATATAACTTACGTAGTTTATTTTACATCTCATGTGTTAGTTATCTGCTGCTGTGTAACAAATACCCCAAAATTTAGCAGCTTGACATGACAAGTATTTATTACCTCACACCGTTTCTGAGTCAGGCATCCAGGAGTGGCTTACCTGGTGCTTCTGACTCAGGGTCTCTCAAGATGTCAGTCAGGGCTGCGGTCAGCTGACAGCTCAACGGAGATGGAGACTCACTTCCAAGGTGTCTTGGTCATGTGGCTGTTGTCCTCAGTTCCTCCCATGTAGACCTTTCCATAGGGCTGCTCAAGATATGGTAGCTGGCCTCTCCCACAGCAAGTTACCCAAGAGATGGAGAGAGAGACAGAGCCACACTGGATTTCATGACCTTGCCTTGGAAGTAACATTCCATCACTTCTGTCGTATTCTGCTGGTGACACAGACCAACCCTGATATAATGAGGAAGGAGACTATACAAAAGTGTGACTGTCAGGAGGCTGGGATGACTGGGGACTCTGTTGGAGGCTGGCTCCCACAGCTTAGTACTTTTTATGTCTATTTTTATGTTTCATGTATTGAACATAAGGCTATAAACTGAAGGCACATGAGGTATTCTTTAAATCATATTTTTATGGTCAGCATAGGTTTCCTTCCACTCCTGCCTTCTGCCCAACTTTTTAAAAATAGGGTTTTTTTTTTGTAACTGTTATAAGTATAAAAGTAGACATATTCTAGATAATCCGCAAGCTGTAACACCTATGTTGGTGTTGCATTCAATAGGACAGGTGTTACTAATACCTTGTATTACCTACAAATCTAGTTTGTCACATTACACTTACTTTTTGTTTTATGTTCAAAATAAATTTAATTTATCACTTGTGTATTTTAACACATTAAAGAAACACCAGAAAACAGAACAAAGAAGTTTTTACTCTCCCATCCTTTCACAACCACTATTATTTTAGAGCATTTCTTTCTAGCATCTGTTTTCAAGTGCTCATTTTTACAAGGTGGTTATCAACAGGTATTGTTATCTAGCTTTTTTGACTTGTTAAATTCTTACAAAGTGTACTGCGTGTTGGATTTTCTGTCACTCACATGTGGCTGTCTTGGGCGGGAGGGCGGCCGGGCCATTTCAGCCCTGCTGGGTGTACCCAGTCCCCCCACCCCTGCTCCAGAGAGCGGAGGTGGAAGGGGGTGTGGGGTATGGAGAGGAGGCTGGAAGACAGCAGGAACACTCTGGAACAGACTGACTCATCAGCAGCCTTCTGCCTTAAAAGGCAGGAGATTAATCACCCTGACCACATGGGATTGGGTCTGGGGGTGGCGGCACATTCTCTCCAGCTATGTAGGCCCCTGGCATATAAATCTGTACTCGTGGAGGGACCACATTTAGTTTAATGAGGCTCCAGAGCACACCATGGGTGGGCGGTGGGGACAGGCAGGTGGTGAGGTGGAGGAAGCCACTGAAGTGGGTGCTGACGTTGCAATGCATGAGTCATCCCCAACTAGCAGGCAGGGCAGTAGGTGTGGAGGAACTGAAGTACAGGGTGGAACCCCCATCCTTTTGTCCGCACTGAAGCCTTACCTAATCTCCTCCACTCGTTGTGCCTGGGTGTTTAGTCAGAAATTAGGCCACAAGAACTAGTGTGCTTAGCAATCTTGAAAGGCCCAAAATCACCAACTTTGACCTTGTTTCAGGGTCTCTCAGCCGTACACAGCATTAATACAGAAATCTCCCATCGGATCATGCAAAGCAAGCTGCTGTCACTTTAGAATCACACCTCTTTGCTTTGTCACTAAGTGGTAGTTTCCAGCCTAATCTCCCCCACCTTATTCAGCAGATTTGGTTCCACATGGCTTGAGGGATTCACAAGTCGAGCCCACAGTAGCAGCTGCAGATTTCCGATCCCCAAGGATGCGCAGACACCCATTTGCTGCAGGAAGCCGGCCCATCCATCCTCTTCACTGCCTGCCCAGAGAACCTCCATGCCACATAGTCTGGGCAGGTGGCTGCTTTGTAGGGATCAGGGCTCATATGGATTTATCTCTGGTGGGTTTGTATTATACATAGCTGACACTAGTCACCCCCCATGGCCCTAGAATGGACTACAGCAGCGGTCACAGTGACAGTGGTAGGGCTGTCTGTGGCAGGGCCATCCTGGCTCTCACCTGACAGGCAGTGTTCTCTGTTTACTGAGCAGCTTCCTGTGGGGATCCCCACCATTATAGGAGCATATCGCATGCTGTTCTTGCTGTAGGTGTAAAATGTCAGGACAGGGAGCTGTGACATTTGTGAGCACCTGGAGAAGTGACACTGATCTTGAGCCCACTCAACCCTCTTCATGGCCATCCATGGCAGAAAAGTGGACAGATGGGACGGAGGGCTCTTAGACAGTGCTGCAGGGAATGTGAGCTCCAAGGCGAGTCAGGGAGAGGACGAGGTAGTGGGATGGAGTGAGAAAGAGAGACATTATTACCTGTCAGGTACCTAAAGGTAATTTCAGGTTGATCTTCCCCCTGTGTAATTTTTTGACATTTTGGATATGGTGGGTGATGACACTGTACTAACAACTTATCCTTTCTTTATAAACTGTATGAAAGAATTGTTTGAAAGTTGCTTTCTATGGTCGTATCTATACAAGGAATGTAGGTCGAGAACTGAGCTTTTAGCGAGGCTGGAAAGTTCAGCGCCCGCCTCGCCCACTCCCCTTTTTGAGAATGGGTTAGAGGGTCTCATACTCACTCTGCATTCCATTCCACACTGCCCTCTGGACACAGCTTTTATGAGGAATTTCAGCGGTCCTCTGTGAGACCTTATTGACCCCTTTAAACTGCTTACTCTTCTCCCCGCAGGATGGGAAGGTGATCGTGTGGGATTCCTTCACTACTAACAAGGTGAGGCGTTGTTCCCAGCTGCACGTCGGCCCCTCAGAGTCCAGCCTAGTTTAAAGGTGCTCTGGCCCAGCTCCCTGGCCCTGCCTCACTCACCCCTGTGAGTAGTGGCCCTGCCTGTAGGGGTGGAAAGCCCAGAAAAGCCCATCCACATGTGAGCATCTCAGCCAGCCTATTGCGGCTTACCCTGAGAAGAACATGGAGAGCCACCACTGGGGTGCTGCTACCGAAACAGGGGTGAGCATAGCCTGGGAAACTTGTCACGGCCGCACGTGCAGCTGTATTAGCTGTTCTTCTGAGTGATGGTAAAAGGTACCAAAATCCCTAGTTCTCTCTCCCCTCTCTGGCTTTGACTGGACTCCATAGCACTGTGGAGACGAGCACACGGTGAATGGGAAGATGAGGCTGCGGTGGGATGGGCCTGAACTGTGACGCGATGCTGTTGGAGCCCCTGGCAAGTCTGGCCTGGGCGTGCACGGCTCAAATTATATCTAAAATTAGGTGCTTAAGATAAAGACCAGTGTCTGTATGTAGATATGCTTGTTTGCCTGCATTGTGTTGGCATTTACAATAAAGATCATTTCATATTAAATATGGATTCTAATGTTTTTTAGAAAGAAAGTCTTCCTTCTCGCTGCCTAAAAAATAGGGGACCTATATCTGTCTCAAATCAAACTGCATCCACATTCTGCATTGTTGAATGTGCTTAATAGATGTCGTGGTGGGCAGCTGTTACGTGACCTGCTCAAGTGAGGGCCCAGACCATTTTGCAGTGTAGAGTCCCTCATGTCAGACCCCTGGGGAATAACAAAAATAATTTAATAATTTGCATGGGACTTTCCTGTACATTGCTCACCTCCTTGGAAGCCTCCACCTCTCCCAGCACTCCTCAGCATCTTCTGCTCTATATGGAGTGTAGTTGCTTCTATTTATTTATGCCTTAGCATGGCAGAGTGCACAAACTGATTTCTGGGAGCTGTGAGTTTGCCACCTGTGGCCCCGGCAGGGAGTGTAGCCACTACTTGTAAGGAATGAGGCCCAGGATGCCCTCTGAGGAGTGGGTAACTCAGCTCACTCACTGGAGGGTAGTAGATTATTCCTGGCATCTGAAAGGCTGCAGACTGTGATTGACAACAGAGTTTTGGCAGACAGTATCGGGGCCAGTGTTCCCCGTAAAAACACAGAGAATCATAGGAAAGAAGCCCAGCACTTGAATGTTCTTTGGAAATCACCTGATTCCACCCCTCACTTCACATGTGGAGAATGAAGCCCAAGGTAGGACAAGTGGCTGGCCTACGTGGGGTCGAACATCTTGTTGGCGTCAGAACCAGGCCCAGGGTTCATGTCTCTCATGGAAATAACACCACAAACTTAGAAAGTTTTGAAACATGGCCTTCGTCGTTTGCTTATCTGCATGCAGGAGGATATGGGTGACTTCACCACCAGCCAGGCGCCAGGGACTTACCCTTCTTAATGCTTCCATTTTATGGGTTCTCTTTTGTCCATAAACAGAGCCTAAGATCACCCTCCCCTACCCCAACCATTCCCGGGAATGGTTTTAGGACCCGTAGAGGATAGAGGCTCTTGTATAACTCAAAAGTAAACAAATTTATAATGTGCATATAAAAAGTCATCCAAGAACACATTTTGAAAATGGAAATCAGAGTAAATACGGTAAAGCATGTATCTGAAAGGAGATTTGGATGTACCTTTCAACAAAAAGGAGCCCCAATACTCATGCAGAAGAAAAAGGCAAATATAACATTAAGGGAGAAATAAAACACAAAGGAATTTTTTTTACTAGTTGAGGTTTTAACTTTTAGAATATATGACACAAAGTTTAGTTGATTAATGAAGAAGCTGAGTCTTCTTGTCAGTTTCAAGTCCATCTTTACCCCACACTTCTTCCCTTTGAAACTATGGTGCAATTCATTAGGAACTCTGATTTTATTCTGTAAAATTAGAAGTTAAGACTTTTGTGTAGAAATACCTGCCATTCACTGAATGTTGCATGCTGTGTTTCAGGAGCACGCAGTCACTATGCCCTGCACATGGGTGATGGCATGCGCTTACGCCCCATCGGGATGTGCGATCGCTTGTGGGTAAGTTGGGGCTGCAGGAACTTTTCCGATTTCCTATAAGCTGTAAACTATTGTACTACTAGCAAAAACAAGCAAACAAACAAGAACTGGTAATTTTTGTTTTTTACTTGTCAAGCAGTGTATTGAATCCATCCCTGAACTTTATTAAAGAAAACTATATAATTCTCTTTTATAATTATTTTCATTACTAACTGATGCTAGTGTAAATTTCAGACCTGTCCCCTGCATTCTCAAATGCTGTTGGTGGTGCTATATACGCTGGTACAAACATTTGGAAAGCAAATTGGTAATGGGGTATCAGAAGCTTTGAAAAATTTATAGTCTTTGATCTAGTGACTCCACATCTAGGAACTTGTTTGAAAGGAATGATCCAAAATATAGAAAAGACGTATGAACAATAACATTTACTGTAGCATTTTTAAGATAAAAAAAAAAAGAAAGAAGAAAGGAAACAATATGTCTTTCAAAGAGAAATTAAGTGAATTGTAGTACATAAATTGGATAGAATATTATGCAGCCATCAAAAAGGAAAATTCTTGGGCCGGCCCGGTGGCGCACTGGAGAGTGCGCCGCTTGGGAGTGCGGTGGCGCCTCCCGCCGAGGGTTCAGATCCCATGTGGAGACCGGTTCCCGCTCACTGGCTGAGCGCGGTGCAGGCGCAACACCGAGGGTTGCGATCCCGTTGCCGGTCCCCGGTACGGGCATGACACCGAGGGTTGCGATCCTGTTACCAGTCAGTAAAAAAGACAAAAAAAGAAAAAAAAAAAATTCTCAATTATGGCACATGAAAGGAGCATCAGAGTTACTAGGAAGATAAGTCTCTGTTCTCCTGGAGCTCTGTGTAACAGGATTGGAAGTGAGAACTAAAACCAACATGATTCCCTTTCCCTATATGAAACAATTCTGAGACCATTCAGAATATTTCTGCACAGGGCCGGCCCGGTGGCACACTGCTACAGTGCGCCGCTTGGGAAGTGCGGTGGCGCTCCCGCCGAGGGTTCGGATCCCACATACAGACCGGCCACTCACTGGCTGAGCGAGGTGTGGGCGCAACACCGAGGGTTGCGATCCCGTTGCCGGTCCCGGTCCGGTACGGGTGCGACACTGAGGGTTGCGATCCGTTGCCGGTCACGAAAAAAGACAAAAAGGAAAAAAAAAAGAATATTTCTGCAGTAGTATCTCAGCCATATTTTAAAAAACAGGTGTAATATAAAGGCTGGGATGAACTATCCCAAACACAACAGTAGTTCTTTATGGATGATGGGACAATGAGAGTTTTTCTCTTTGTAATTTTTTCTACTTTCAATTTTTTAAATAAGCATATATTATTTTTATAATCAGGAGAAAAGTATTTTGTTTTAAAAAGGAAAACCCTGGGCCCCAAACCAAAAATTTTGGACCCCAGCCAGAGTCACAACCAGCCATCTTCCCCAGTGTCCCCTCCCTTTGGGTGGCTACATGGGAACATCTTCCCACCCTCTCTTTCCAGTTGCCAAGAGCACATCTGCTTTTGGAACCTATAAAGACATATGTGTATTTCATATTTTCTAATTTTTAAAATAACTCCAAAATAGATTATGTCTCCATTTTATAGCTGGATGCCAATGTTTACATAAAATTTATTCTCCTGTACTTCCTAAAATGATATGAGGTGGCTGCAATAAAAGACACATATATACATGTATATAGAAACATACATCTGTATGTGTTTATATGTACACACACTGTGTATATGTCACACATGTAACACATTTATTGAGAGAGAAGTAGGCCACAGTTACAAGGTTGGTGCAAAGGAGTTTAGCCAACTGTACAGTTAGGAGACATAGTCCCCACAGGCTATGCTCCCTTCAGATACCAGCCACAAATTCGGGGGTCCCCACAACCCCCCTCAGGCTTGATAATTCACTAGAACAACTCACAGAACTCAGGAGAGTGTTGCACTTACTACCACAGTCTTATTACAATGAAGGGTACAAATTAAAATCACGCAAAGGAAGAGATGTGTGGGGCAGAGTCCAGGAGAGGCCTACATACAGAGCCTCCAGGCGTCCTCTCCCTGTGGAGTCATTGAAGTGTTGCCTCCTCCCGCCTCAGCATGTGGCAGGACACGCAGAGCACTGCCAGCCAGCACAGCTCACCCCAGCCTTAGGCATCCAGGGGCTCAATCCCATACTGTCCACTTGGCTGACCTTTAGCCTCCAGTCTCTCTTGGAGGTTTGGGCTATTATCGTTAGTCTCCAGTTCCTCTGGAGGTCAGAACTGATATGGCGTGTCCCAAAGCCCCCATCATAAGTCACATCGTCAGACTGTGCTATGGCTAAAGCACACAGGCAAGCAAAGACATCGTAGGGGCCCAGAGATCACCTCCCAGCCAAGGGCAAAGGGCAGACCCCTCTTTAGGTAAGATCAATTCACTACTCAGTAGGAATAATAAACACTCTATATTTTAAAAAATCCTAGGATAATATGTTTCTAATTGGGCATTAATTTTAGGAAATGCATACAGTTGGATGGGTTACATAATTCCTCAGTGTCTGACATTTTGACATATTAAAGATACCTGGTTCTAAATCTCAGACATAATATATTGGGTAGATCCTTCAGCAACATACAATGAATATAATAACAGTGAACAATGTCTTCAGCAGTAGGTTAGGAAATGATGCTATGAGTTATTTCTTATTTTGACCCTCACTAAATGGAATTCAGTAGAATTTTCATGAGGGCAGAGAGATAGGAAGGAAGAAAACAATTTACTAAGGCCAGGTACGTAGTTTTCTGGTGTCTTACAGAAAGCAGATTCCAAGTGGAGGGATGGCCGTGGCCCTAACCTGAGTCGTCTCTGCCCACCAGGCCCTAGCATGTGGGAGGTGGTCAGTGCCTGTGCTGGCTGCCTCCCCAGTTGTTACAAGAAGCAAAGCAGAGGAAGTTCAAGGTGTGAATATTTGTGGAAGCATTTTTTAAAATATGGGGTCCATGGATGAGGAGAGAGCATCAAAAACTAATCTTAGAAATACTGAATCCACATTGTAGGTGAAAGCACCATCTCCCCTGCCCAGATCTTTCCCTAGAACTGCTAACAGCAACTGTGATTAATTTGAGTTTCCCGTGGTAAGTCTGACGTAATATTTCCCAACCATAGCTTTGTGACATCTCTCTAAGTCCGTTATCACACAGACCCACACCTGTGCCACATTCTCTGAATGTCTTTATAGGTAGTAAGGGGGATATTTTTATCTCCATCTGGCTGACTACTGGGTCCATCTCTCAGTTGGTCCCAGACTTGAAAGCTAAAACCCCAGTAGCATTGGCACAAGCCCCTTAACCCCCCAAAATGTGTCAGTTGATATATATGACACCCATACATATATACATACATATATATGAGAGAGTGTACTTCAAAAATTTTGTGAAAAAGTGGAATTAAAAGATAATACCAATATTTCCATGAACTTTTTTTTGTGTGTGGGGGGGAAGCTGGCCAGTAAGGGGTCCATGAACTTTTTGAAGACCTCTCATATATATAATCAGTTGATAAATTGATGAAATAAATCACTATATATATAAAATGTGTATATATGTATTTATGTATATATAAAATATAAGTGTTATGTGTATATATAAAGTATTTCTTATTTGAGAGCCATATCTCCAAGAAGCCTTCATTCAGGTATTGTATGCTTACTGTGAGCACTTGTGTACAAAGCACTGGGATGGATGTCATAGTGGAATTCAGAGATGAATAAGACATAGTTCCTGGTTCCGTGCAAAAAGAGATATAAGAATAATGAGTGTGATCACTTATTGAGCATTTGTCTATGGCTCTGTGTGCCAAGAACCATTCCAAATTCTTTGTGTAATCTTCACAGCAGCTCTTTGGGAAAGGTGGGTGGGATCCTCTCCATTTTATTAGGGAAACTGAGGCCTAGTTAACCTATAAAATATAGCTAAGATCACAAAATTAGTTAGGTACTAAAGCAAAGATTCAACACCAGATGCATCACTCTGCAAACTTTCTCTGCTTCTCATAGCAATGCAGATAACCCTAGGTAATAAGTATCCCAACAAAGCTACAGAGAAATTACTCTGAAGCTTCAGAAATTAATTGTGAAGCACATCCTACCTGGAGAGTCAGGGAAGACCATAGTCCACAGCTTGCTTGTCCATTACCACAGCCTACGTGCACATCACTCTCACCCACAAACACTCTATAAAACAAGTTTTCCAAAGCTAATTCTGATAACAAACTACCCAAGTATACACCTGTACCTGCAAGCAGTTGGAAAGGCAAAGGTCCCCTACCTTCCCCAGGGCCTCAGAAAAGAGTGACCCCATCCTAAATATCGTTCCCCACTAAAAGGAAGCAGGGCTCCTTGGAGTAAGGCTGATTTTAGGTCTGGGGCAGAAAAGGAATAAAGTAGCTTAGGATATTTTCTTGTTCCAGAAAGTAAGGAAATCTTCAGGGACCAATAAGGTCATAACGAAAAGAAATAGGAGTTGGCTTGAAGGGCCCCCCCACTGTCAAAATGTGGGACATTTGAGTATCAGGTGAAATAGTGATAGTAATTAAGGAGAAAACCCATGGGTGTACAGTGTTACTGGAGGAAGGAAATTCTTCTTTTCAGAAAAATACCAACTAATAAATGCAGAAGGCATTATCAAATTAGAAGGTTCACCATTTTGCACCCCAAAGTAATAGTTGATTCAAAGGGGTAATCATGCTAAAGCCACTGTATGAAAGGTTGTTGGCAAAAAGGATATTTTCATGGTCTCAAAATATCACACCACAGATTATTACCAATTACAAATTACCTTTACCGTGGAGACATCTGGTGGTCCATCTTAACCAAGCAGTCGAAGTCGGCATCACCAGTCTTGACACAAGAGGCATTACAAGCCTTCTGAAGTGAAGCAATGGAAAGAAAGTATATGTCACCTTTATACTGTCACTGCCAAAAAGGTTATACTTGAATCTGACCATTAAGGAACAGTGTGACAAGTCCAGAGTGTGTGTGACATTCTATGAAATGGGAAAGGTTTTGGCCCCTAAGATCTCTTGTCATAAACAACAAAAAAATAGGTAAAGTCTGTTCTAGATTAAAAGATCTTAAAAAGATATGACAACCGAAGGCTGTTGTGAACCTTGATGGGGGCCTGGGGCCTGAGGACAGTGGAGGATGATTGAACACCGATGGCTTATTAAATGGTGTTATGGAATTTTTGTTAATTTTCTCAGATGTGATGATGTAGTGGATATATTGACAAATGTTCTTATTTTTAGGACATATAAATTTGCAAATTGAAGTATTTAGAAGTAAAATGCCATATCTAGTTTGCATACAAATGGTTTAGAGTTTGGTCCCACAAATATGATAAAATGTTAAGTTTGTGAATCTAGGTGAAGGGATTTGGGTGTTTATTGTACTATTTTTCTTTCAGTTTTATTGTAGGTTTGAAAATCAAAGTAAAAGTTGGTGGAGAGGTTACAATATATGATACTACTAAAGAAAAAAATTTTAGAAAGTTTGTGTGAATGAGAAAGTATACACATGTCCTGTTACTCTGTGTTAACCTTTGATACTTCTTTCTTTCCATGCTAGCGGTTTGGATAATAAGTGTTCTGTGTATCCATTGACGTTTGACAAAAACGAAAACATGGCTGCCAAAAAGAAGTCTGTTGCTATGCACACCAACTACCTGTCTGCCTGCAGCTTCACCAACTCTGACATGCAGGTAAAGAAGTGGCCCTGTGTCAGGCCCACCTGCCTAGAGTGCTGAGGAGGACTCGCCAGAGAGGCGGCTTTTCCTGTGTCCCTCAACAAGACGGGTGTGCTCCAGCGGCCTGCGCTAGGGGGAAGCGCCTGCTGTTTCTCATTGGTTATTCTTACTACTTTTGATAAAGTCAGAAACGGGGAAGTCAGAGCTATCAGCTGTTTATAGAGTTGAGATAACTACATAGTGTTGAAAATCCTCTGATTGACTTGGTGGGGGTGGGAGTGGAGCAGGGAACCTTCTGGAGTGGTGGAAGCTTCTGGTCTGAGCAGGGGTTATCAGGCATTTATGTGTAAAACTTCACCAAGCCGCTGAGCTTCAGAGTAGTGCGTTCATGTGTCTCACTGTACATGCCTTTCATCCCTGCTTTAACAAATGCAAAAGGGAAGTGCTTTAGACATTAAATCCTGCTCGATTTTGATAAGCCACAGTGAGAACAATACAACTTTAACACCCTAAGTTTTCTTTAGCAAGTCATATAAACATCCCGTAGTTTGTTTATTCGCACTTATCCAGCACACCTTCAGAGGTACCTACCACCCGCATTGCCAGATACCATCTGGCTCTGGGGCTGAAAGCTCAGTCTAGGCCCTTAGGGACCTTCATTGAAACCAGTAATGACTGGACAGTGGGGGGAGCTAGGGAGCTCTGAGCAGCGGGGAGTCACAAACTTGCTGCTGCCAATGAAGAGGGACAGCTGCCACCTCAGGAGAGGTGGCACTGTGGGAGCACAGTGGAGGGGCGGCAGGCAGAGAGGCGGGCAAGGCTGGATCCTAGGGCACCCTGATTGCTTGGCTGGACCCTGTAGGCAGCAGGAGCCATTGCAGAGTGAGTCAGATGTGGGTTTGAGGAGGAGAGTGAGTCAGATTAAAGCCTTCCATAGTCCACTCTGGCTTCAGCTGATCGATGTTGGAAGGGAGGCCAGGTTGCAGGCACGGCATCCAGGTGACTGGGTAATTGTTCGGTTGCCAGCAGGAGGGATGCTCATACTTGCAGCACCACCAGTATTCAGGAGGGGGTGCTGTGGCCACCAGCTGGTTGCAGTGACTGCAACCAGATGTCCTTGGGCCTCCAGAGCAGCCAGAACAACAGAGGACATTTAGTCTGGATAAAGGGAGGCCCAGAGGGATGCAAGAACAGTGGGTTTTCAGGCATCTGAAGTCCCTTTGGTGGAGACCTGTGACCTTCACTCTGTGTTGCCACAGGTTCTGGGGGTTCTTATAGGGGGCATGTGTAGGTTAGAAGTGCTTCCTTTCTACAAGCAGCTGGCCAGAGATAGAGGGAAGTCCCAGCTGGCTACCTTGCTGCAGACACAGCTTGGGAGACAGAGCAGGGAAAGGTTTTGGCCCCAAAGTAAGAAAGCCAGATCAGAGCCTGCCTCGCTGTGTTCTAGCTGGTCATCCAGACGAGGTCTGAATTTCTGTGTGCTTCGCTTTTCTCACCTGGGGATGAGGATGGTAGTAAATCTCCACCACATAAGGTTTCCTGAGGATTAAATAGTAGTTCCTGGTAAATAGCAGTAAATGTTAGTTCCTATTATTTTATTATTATTAATATTAACACAAAGCTTCATGGGTGATCAGATGCACAGCCGGGTTTGGGCACCACAGAACTAATGAACCTTAAGCTTTCTTCCATCTCTGGCATCTTGGATAGTTAAGGAAAGAACAAGTGGCTTTGGTGTTGAACCTGAGAATTCTCTGCATTCCAGCACACTGAGTGACAGTGAGTTACGGGTCCTCTTTAGTGCATCATCTGAATAAATATTTGATTTAAAATGTGTTTTTTACATTGTAATGAAGATCATAAAAATGTAAAATTAAAAAGTCCCCATTAAGAATTTGCTTTTAACTTTGTAAAACTATTCATTTCTTTGAATAGCATGCCTTGAAAATTTCCCAAATTAAAGAGTTACCCTGGGGTAATAATTTACAGCAAGTTGTTTGGACCCAATACTAGTACCCAAATTAAGACTCAGTTCAAGTCTTGTGTGTTCATCAACTACTTTTACCAGCCTAAGTCATCTGACAAGGCCTCTTGAGGGAAGTTGAGGCTGGAGGAAAACCCGTGGACAGCCCCAGGGGCTTTGCAGCCTTGGAGATTCTCTGGATTTAAGAGTTGCCCCTGAGTGGGGGCTTTGAGGAGGTCTTCAGGGGCCATACACAGGAGGCCTGTGAGCTCTGGAACTCACCCAGCTCTTGCTCCATGGAGGAGCCCCAAAGTGACCTCTTCTGGCCACTTCTAGGCCTCCCCAGACCAGCTGGCAGGAAGCCCAGGCCAAGACAGTACAGCCAGGGGGTGCAGCCAGGGTGGGAACAGATTCCTGTCCTTGTAATCTGCTCCATTTGTGCAGGAAAAAAAGAAGAGTCTTTATAAGTGCTAGGCCTAACATATAAGAGAGAGGGGCAGAAAAAGGGGAAGGAGGGAGAGGAGAGTACTTGGAAACTGCAGGTGTGGGTGGTCAGTGGGGGCATCAAAAGCTGGCAGCCTTTTAGGCCTGGTTCCTGTTTTCCCAGCCATCGGTAACCACCACCCACAGAGGGCTCTCTGTTGTGGACACTTACACTGCGAGAGCCACTTCCTACACTATCATATCACCTCACCCCAGCCCTGTGGAGCAGCCAGGTGCTGGTGAGGAGTAGGGAGGCTCTGCTATATTAAACCTTGCAGATCAGTACCAAGCTGGCTCCAGGGACCTGTGATGCAGTCAGCTAGGCCTATGAGAGCCATGACCTCATAGTTGATGGTCACCACCTTTTCCCAACCCCAGGAAGGAATGCTCAGCCAGCGTGCAAGCCTCACACACACTGGCAGTGACAAAAATTAAAGCTCTGGCTCCATCCCCATGCCTGTCCCCAGACACCCCAGTGTTCTACTTCTAAGAGCCAGCCTTTGTACTTGTAAGTACGGAGTCTGCTTGAGGGTGGCTGCACCGACCTCAGACAGGTTTTCCTAAAATACACCTTTGCTGTTATCATTTTCTTGCTCAGAAGCTTCCATAGCTTCCCCTTTCCTCCATGCTGAATTCCTCACTCTGTGTACAGGCTTGCCTCTCATTTAGCGCAGACCTAGGCCTTCTCCTGAATGTTCTACTCCTCTTTGGGCACCTGGCCAGCTCTCACTCATCCTTTAAAACCAACTCAGATGTTGCCACGCTGGGTTTGGGGACCCTCCTGTGTGCTTGCTGTGGGATGTGGATCTCAGCACTTCTCATCGTCATTTTCTTGTCTGCTGATGGTGTCAACTCCCCAAGCAATCATCAGAAAAACTAGCTGTCAGGCAAAGTTAAGTATACTAGACCTATTGCAGTGAGTGAGGACCTCAGTAGTGTCTCAAAATGGAGAAATTAGGGACGAGTCCTTGCAGAGTTTCAGGGTCCAGACTGGGTGCTTATAGGGTGGGTCTTGCAAAACAGGCAGAAAACTGGCTTATGACATAATAACTTTGTGAGCCCAGCGAGGTAAGGATCTTGAAGAGAGTCTTGGTGAGAAAGCTATTAGTCTTGATAAGTAAGCTGTCTATTTGACTCACTGTCTTTTCTTCCAGGAGCAGGTATTTCCTGGAGCAAGTACAGGTTATTTTTAGTTGGTATCAGTACTATTTAACATAGTTACAGGAAAGTATGCCTGATCCCAGAATTATATAACATGGAGGCAGGGAATTATTCTGTTAAACCAAGCTCCAGGAGAACAGACAGTCTTCCTGCAAATTCTAATGCCTTAGAAGAGTGCCTGGACATCGTCAGCACATGGCAAATGTTTGTCGAATCAGTGCATGTATGAGCGTCCTCCAGCATCTGTCAACGGCCCTGGGGTGCCTCTGGGGCAGCACCCTGCTCTGGGGAAAGCAGCAACAGGAGAATGTGTCTAGCGAAAGGCTGCCTGGACCCTTGCTCTCCACGTACAGTCCAGTGTCAGTATCTCCTGGGGGTATGTGAGAAATGGAGATGCCCGGGCCCCACCCCAGACTCTTTATATTAGCGAGCAGCCCAGTGAGTTGTAAGGTCTGGCCTGCACAACAGTAGGAGCCGTTGGAGGTTCTGTTGAACGAACATAACCAAGCGCTTCCTACATGCCAGGCAGGTGGAGAGCCCTGCAGGTACCACAGTGAGGCCTCCGGGATCTCAGTTCTGGAGGAAGACAGGCACATAAGCACACCACTCAAGGACCACGCGGGTGTCAAGAATGTACTTTTGCCTTCTTGGTATAGGAGAGACACTCTGTCCTTGAGCCCACATAGAGCACCGTGCCTGCATTTGTGTTAAAGGTGCCTACTTTTCCCTGTGGGATGTTAAACCTCTGATCCACTGCCCCCGACAGAAGCCATAACCATAGCCATGCTCTTCCTTTCCTTTTCTATGGGCAGATCCTGACTGCGAGCGGCGACGGCACATGTGCCCTGTGGGATGTAGAGAGTGGGCAGCTGCTGCAGAGCTTCCATGGCCATGGCGCCGACGTCCTCTGCTTGGACCTGGCTCCCTCAGAGACTGGAAACACCTTCGTGTCAGGGGTAAAGACCCAAGGAAATCTCTAGGGGTCCTGTGTCCACTAGGGAGGCTATTGCTGCAGTTCTTGTCAATGCATGGGGCTAACCCAACACTTCCCTAGAAGGGGCTGCAGGAATTGTCCCTAGCCCCTGCAGCAGTGGCAGAGCTGGCTCCGTGTACAGCACAGAGCTGGCTCCGTGTACAGCACTGGGCTGTGAGGGCCTCCTCTTCTGCCACTGACATTCAGCAGTCTGCAGAGGGATCTGGAATGTTCACTGTCTGCCTGCCTTGCCCTCTGGGCTTAGGGGAGGTGGCTATAAAGAGGAAAAGAAGGGGCCGGCCCGGTGGTGCACTGGATAGTGCGCTGCTTGGGAAGCGTGGCGGCGCTCCCGCCTGAGGGTTCAGATCCCACATACAGACCGGTTCCCGCTCACTGGCTGAGTGAGGCGCGGGAGCAACACCGAGGGTTGCGATCCCGTTGCCGGTCCCCGGTCTGGTACGGGGGCAACACTGAGGGTTGCAATCCTTTGCTGGACACGGAAAAAGACAAAAGACCAAAAAAAAAAAAAAAAAAAAAAGGGGAAAAAAAAAAGGCAG